AAAATTTTATTAAGAAATACTTTTTTAACAATATAATGTTTTTATTGATTTAGAATCAATTATTTTTTAAAATAATCACTTTTATTTTTTTATAACCAATTACTTCTTCTCTTAATTTTTATAGTTAAAAGTTTAATTTTTAAGTCTAAGCCTGTTACAAAAAAAAAAAAAAAAAATATATATATATATATATATATATATATATAGACTTTCTGTCCAAATATTATTGTTAATCCAAGTGAAGTGAATTGGTCCATTTTCAGTGCGCCCAATCAGCACCACCTCGTCAGGCTTTAACGGACAATTAAAGTGTTTAATTAACGTTTCGTTGACATCAGTTTAACTAAAAGGGCCGTTATGCGGATTTCGTGAAGTAACGGGGTTGATTTGCCATGATTTAAAGTATAGGGGCTGACTTGCCACAACATTGCAAGCATAGGAGCTGAGTTACACCTTCTGCCTCTAGGAAATTGTCTGCTAGTTCCAAAGTTACTGACTGTGAAGTATCAACCAAAAGTTTAGTGGATTTATAATTATATGGCCAGGTCAGTGGAACTGGCCTTGCAGATTTTCTGAAATCCTATGATAAAAAAAAAACAAAGTGGCAAAAAGAAGGAAGTAGGAGCGGGGATTATAAGTGATTGGAGCCAGGATTTTCTTGTTATTTAATATTCAACCTTTTTTTCTAAAAAAAATTAATCTGTTCACTCATGTTTAAATAACGATTAGAAAAATAAATTGAAACTTGGAAGGAAAACATTTATAAAGATTCTCAAAGTCTCCCAAGCAAAAAAAGAAATTTTAGAAGAACTACAATGATGATATGTATGAAACAAATTATTTGAGAATAAAAATTATTTAAAAACACTAATATCATTAGTTATATAGTTTAATAGTAAAATTATTTGTACTTCTAATTATAAGTTTAGGATTTAATTCTTAGCTTTTATTTATCAAAAATTAAAAAAAAATTAAGGATTAAAAATGACACTTAAAGAAAACTAAACTAATTTTTTCGCAGAAGGCAATGCCTCCCTTACCATAGCGTGGTTCTTTGCAAAATCAAAGAGGGAATGGGGAATATTCACGCATGAGAGAAAACGAGGGTCAATAAGGTAAAAGAATGATTCACGCATGAGAAAAATTAAAATGAAAATAATTAATATATATTCAGTTTAACATACATTTTAATATTTATTTTGATTTAATTATTAAAATATTTATTTATTTTTATTGTAATGAACCTAATTTAATTTTTTAACTATTCAAACATAAATTTCAAAAAAAAAAAAACTTATATAAATAATAAATAAAAATATTTTTCTCTTATATAAAATTTTTACCAGGTACTTTTATTTGGTAAAAAAAATTTAATTATTTTTTATATAATATAATATCATTTATAGACTTCACTTCTTGACTTTGGTCACAATAACATTAGGAACTTTATTAGGGTGGCATAATAATTTAAAACGGTTTTAGTTTGAATAATATTGAACTGTAAAATCAAAACTTTTTGGATAAAAATAACAAGATTCTGTTATTTTAAAAGTCAATGTTTCGTAGTTTTGTATAGTTAAATTGTAAAAATATAAATTTTCAAATCTAGAAACAACATTTTCTGTTAATAGCTTTTCCCAAAAAATGAAAAATCATTTTCTGTTAACACTGCTTTGGCTTCATCAAGCTTTCAACACAATGGTGGTTCCTTTGGGCAACATGAATTTGGGGAGGGTATAATTGACTTTGAGGGTTAAATTGCATATCTACCTTTCGTTTTTTCAACAAAAGGAAGCCCATTTTGAACCACATAGATAAAATCTTTCTCAGCGCGGTAGCCACAAAGTTGTTAGCGATTGGTATTAGGGTACTCTGTAATCATAAAATCTTTATTAGGAGTTAAAATCAAAGCTCAAACTCTCATAATCTTAAACAATTATAAATCATTTAATCCTACTGTATCAAGATAAACTTGCACTATATTTAATATGACTAGGTACAACTGAACTTTGGCTAGTGTGATCCAAGAAAGTCGTTGGAGTTGTGATGCGAAAACTGCAACAGCGGTCAGCAAAAGCAAATGATCAGGGTGCAATGACAGCATGGTAGCAGCAAAGTGACAGCATCATGAAGCTGAACGTGGGCTGGAAGAAATGAATCAGACTTCTATATCTTAGTTACTGTGGTAAGGAGCAAATTTATTGTTTTTGGTAGCAAATCTATTGTATTAAGTAGAAGTTGTAGCATTAGGTAGAAAACACTTTCTATATTTCTGCTATAAATGGCAGTAACATCAATGAAAGAAAATGAGTTGCACCGCACCAAAAGAGCGATCAGGGAGTCGCTTTCCTTCTCCAAGTTCTCTTTTCACAATTCTAAACGGGTCCCAATTAAATTTGATTATATAAGTAGAATGGCCCCAAGGATGAAACGGAGAACCATAAGTTTAAGTTTCCACCGTTTTCCTTGAT